TGTGTGCGGAGAGGTTGCAAGGAGGGGTTATCGGGGGCGGGGGGCGGGTGCGAGCAAGGGTTTGGGAGTGCAGAGAGAAAGGCTTGTCTTTTCTCAGGTTGTTATTTTGATACTGAAAAGAGCGTCAGCGCGTGATTAACGTAGCTCGCTGGAAGCAACTGCTGTGGGTGTAGCTCTGGTTGTGGCACTCGGGCATTTTCTAGAACACTAAAATTGTTTACTGTGAGCCTCAGTTCTCTTGTTCATGATATGATAGTTAAATTGGGAAATAAACCATAGAGTTTTTCATTGTTGAGCTCAACCATGAAACAAAACTTTATGCTTGCCTTGTTTCATATTCTAATAAAATGAGATTAAATACAGTAATAATTCCTTCAATGCGAAAAAAAAAAACAGACTTTTTTTTCTTTCTATCAGGTGCAGACATTGCTTCAGCAAATGCAGGACAAATTTCAAACCATGTCTGACCAAATCATTGGAAGAAATATCCTTTTTTAAAGTCAGATAGCTATTATACCCTATGGATGCACAAGAATTCTTATGTATGTTTGAAGTGGGATTTGCAAGACATTGAAAGTGAGCGTAAGAGTTTGAGCAAAGCCATAATCAAAAAAAAAAAAAAGCTTGCAGTCATATTCCTTAACTCCAGTTAACTTGATGACATGAGCTGTCGCATAGATGACCTGGAGAAAAACATAGCAGACCTCATGACACAAGCAGGAGTGGAAGAATTAGAAGGCGAAAACAAGGCCCCTGCTACTAACAAGAGTTAAAGTGAGACAGTTGTTTGTTAGTCTTGAAACAGATCCTCTCCTCACTTGAAATTATTGACTTTGAAGCAGACAATATTTTGTCCTTTGACTTGTGAGGCAGTCTGAAATTCGAAATTCATGTGGAGTAGCTCTGTACTTTATGATACAAAAAACAGGATGCTGATCTGCTCTCTTCAGCCGTTCCTACTTCACCAATGATGTTTCCTTCACCAATAATGGATGAAAGTTCCCTTTTCTCCATTTCTAGTTAGTTAATGAGGAAATATAGTAGTTGTATTCACCTTCTGTTACTCACTTGCTCTGGTACTCTTAGTAAGATCTGAAATAATGACACAGGAAGGGGAAGAGATGAGAAGAACTTAGAACATCAATAACAAAGTGAGCTGATCTTTTCTCCCTTCTCTCTGCGCATTTGAGTCTTCTGAAAAGGACCATAATCTCATGCATGTTTCCACCCTCTGCTCTGATTTTTATAGCTAGAAAGTTACTGTTGACTTGGTGCTACTCTTCCATCTTCAGCTGCATAGTGTAGACTCTAGCTCCCGATAAGTTCCTAAAGCCTCCAGAACCTGCTGGTGCGCACAGGGGCTGATGAGTGAGTTACTATCAGTCACCTCTAAACCTGGAACAGGTTGCCCAGAGAGGCTGTGGAGTCTCCTTTCCTGGAGATATTCAAAACCCACCTGGCCACGATCCTGTGCAATGTGCTGTAGATGACCCTGCTTGAGCAGGGGGGTTGGACTAGGTGATCTCCAGAGGTCCCTTCCAACCTTGGCTGTTCTGTGATTCTCCTATGTAAGTTAGGAACTTGCTGTGATTACATGACTCAGTTGTGTTACTGCACAGCAGCAGGTGCTGACTCCGACAATGAATATACTAGAATGCTTAAACATAAGGCGAGGCATATTCTAAGGGAACTTGCCCTGGAAAAAGAAATCTTGTATAGAAAGGTAAATGTGGTGTTTGTTCTTACCATGCAACTTCTTGATTGATAATGTCTCCCTGTATTGTTAGGCAAAAACATGAGAGAAGCAGATCTTTCATCTACTTGAAAAGCAGCAGGTAAAAGTCTAGCACAGCAACATGTAAATGAATTTAAGTGACCAAGTAACACACACACACACAACGTTTACAAGGCTTGCTAAAGGCATTTCAGAGGATGGTGGCAATGCAAGACTTCTAAAACTGTCAGAGCATAAACAAAGCACGCTGGAGGGCTTAATTATTGTATACAAGTAGTGATATTTCACTTCAGTATGCACAAAACTTGATTTTTGTAATCCATGGAAAGCAACTGTTAAATAGAGTACCAGATGTATCCTGTTAGCTTAACATAGTGTCTTAAGGTGGCTAATAAGACACTTCTTAGATAACCTGTCTTATGCCTGAAATTCTGAGGTCGGTTCTGCAATACTATGCAGTCTGTATAATTGGAATGTGTGTCTCAGGCAGGTATAGATCTTGCCTTGTTAAAGTACCTATTCTTTTTGATACTCTGATAAAATATAGATTATTATGGGCTTTATTGTGCCCAGAAGCTAACTTTATTCTCTCAGCCTGAACCCCACAAATACAATTTTTGATACGTTGTGCTTTCTACCCCCCTCAGGAGTGTGGAAATTTTGCTGATGCCTGATTTTATTGATCCTTCACTAACTGCACTGTTTCTGATGAACATGCTTCTCTAATTCGTCTCAGTAATTTTTTTTTATCTTTCCCCAACAGGTTGCCAATAACTTAAGATGAATGCTGGAACACTTTTTTTTTTTTTTTTTGTCTTTTTCCCAAACAAGCCCTTGAAATTACAGAACAGCTTTTTGCAACTACAATGTGTAAAAGCATTTTTATATTGTTATGGAGCTTGCATTCCTGATGTATAGCTAGGGATAGGTTAGTTTATATTGAGTTGTGTAATGTTACTTCACTTTTTGAATTCTTGTTATGAGGATCAATTAGTTGTGTTATTAAAATACAGATCTTATGGATCTCAACTACTGAGTGAATTTTTTTGTGAAGTCACTTTTTTCCTCTGTTTCTTATACTTTTTCTAGATGTTTCATTTTTGATAGCTAAAAAACTAGTGACTTCCATCAAGTGGAAATCTTAACTTCTCCTATGTAACTGTGTGGAGTGAAGCACAGGATTGAAACTGAGCATTAGTTTCAGGATTGAAACTGAGCATTAAAACTAAGCATCAGTCACTGAAGTAGTAGAGGGTTCTATATTGTTTTCTAGTAACTGTAATAAAGTGACTTTGCAAAAGTAAGGTGCTGAACATCAAAATCATATCTCATACTCCTGGTATTACCCTACCTGTATATTTGTATAACACAGAACAGAAATATTGATTTAACATTAGAGACATCTATACACAGTTGAGCAAACACTGCCATTCTAATCTATTATATTTAGAAAGACAAGGAACTACTAACTATGACAAATCTTGCTATGGGACTTAATTTTTTTAATACTGTAAAACACTTTTGAAAATGACAATATGTCTTTTAGCAGCATTGCATTTGAAGAATAATTGCCATTAAAATAGTGATATTCGACAAAATGGATGGGACTGAGGAAGTGTCTGTCCTGGTCTTTCAGTATAAATCATTCACTGTTTGTACAAAACAAAGTTTGCTAACGAAGCAACGATGTATTTATTGATTAAGAAAAATGGAGAGAATGCAGTTAGAATTGTAAAGCCTTGTTAGTCTGTGAGTAACACATAGCTGGAACTCTGGAAAATACTTGGTTTAGAAAGGTACTTGCTTTTATAACTATACCCATGTGTATAGACCTGAAGTTTAATGGATTACATTAGAGTATTTTGGAAATCAAAAATGTTTTCTTTAGAAGAGTCTTTACTATGTTGCTATTGTGAAGAAAAATGACCAATGTCTGAATAATACCGACAATCATTGCAGTGCTACTCCAGCCTGGATTATTAATTTAAGAAAGCACTAGTGGCAGCTAGCAGTTATACATGGACTACACTTAAGACTATTATTTGCATGCCACTGCATTAGCACTGGTGTATTACAGAGGCAATATGACGGGTCATTTTTCAAAGGGGAAATTGTAATAAAAGCTCTTAATGAAAGGGCAATTTTGTGAACATAGGAAATGTATGAGTATACCTTGTAATACCACCCTTAGGCTCCTTGTAATGTCATTTAAAAAAATCTAATAAACTATTACGTGGTGACATAAACAGTCAGGTTATATGTTTTAAGGCAAAACCTAGCGTATTTATGTCACTATATGTGAGAACTGTAGCTTAGTTACAAGTTATGGGAAGACTTTAGCATAGCCTTACCTATAGAATATAGTCTAGAATATGGGTATATTTTGTATAATAAAAGGGTAAGCACAATTCATGCCCTGTCAAATCTAGATTTTACCAAATAATTACAGTATAGAGCAAATCTGTAGTGAAGTATATTAAAATAAAGGGTCCTATATGGTAGGTTTATAGCGCTATACATTTTCATCTGGCCTTCTTTCTCCTATGAAAAAATACTCATTCTTGAATTTTCTAGCACTTTCTTAAATACAGCAATAGTACGCCTGCTTTCTTGAAGTTTATTCTGTCAGAATAATTATTGAAAATTATTTCAGTGTTAAGGAGAGGCTAGATGCTTTGAGTCCTTGGAAAGATTCTAAACATGTCTCAGTAGGGATAACTTACCTTAACATCAACTGATTTTGAAAATTAATAATTTAAAATACATGTATAACAGCATACCTAGGCAAAGTAGAATCACTTTTGGCCACAATTTGCTATGGTGCAGTTAGTTTGATACACAGAGTAAAGTAGAAGAACACGGTACTGAAGTGTTAACTTTATATGGCCTCCTCACTTTTGCAAGGCTGTATTCTGCATCAATAAAACTTAAGAAAAAAGAAGTCTGAGGATCAAGCTCCTGAATAGGGACCCTCTTTCCTATGGAACTGCTTTATCTGTTCCAATATATTTAAACCAAACTATTTCGTGCTGTATTCTAGTTAAGGCTGTCCTTTGAGACTGCAGCTTGAAATTTTTTAGTTATCTCTATTCTGAAGTCTATAAAAGCACTTTTCAATTTAAGATAAATTCTTTGCTGGCTGTCACCATGGTAACAAACACTTTGATTTTATCCCTGACATATTTACATCCTACAGTTTATTTTCATTCATAAGCATTTACAAATTAAATACACCCTGCTCTGATTTCCTCGTACAAGCAGGCGTGGTGGATGCTGCATTTTCCAGTCTGCGATTCAAAGTTCGTGTAACTTTGAGCAGACCAGGTGTAACGCACAGGCACAGCAGAGCTGTGCTGTGGCAGTCAGTACACTGCTCTGCCTCAGCAAGTGGTTGTGGGTATCTGCTCGTTTCTGCCTCCTGACTGCCTACGAGAGGGAAAAGGATTTCTACTGTAATAGGTGGCACATCTCTAATGTAATTCTTGCCACTTGGGAAGAGGTGAGATGGATGGAAAATCCACTCACTTGAACTTTCTAGTTGTCTGTACTGGTCATGCTATTTCCTTCTTTCTTTCCCTTCCTTAATTGGCCCAAGCAGCAAGGAAGGGGTAGCAAAGCTACTTTTCACAAGAGAGCATGACAGATAAGGAATTATGCAGAAAAAACAGAGACACTTTACAGGGAAAAGGAAAGCTAGGGGAGCTAAGCATGGAGAAGATAGAAATCCCCCCACCCCGCTCTTGCCCAAGCTCCATCTCTGCTCTCACCGCCCACCCTTTCTATTCCAACTTTTCATTAACACCACCATCTTCAACCCCTGCTTCTCCTAGACTCTGACTCTTCAGAGCTCAGTTACAACTGCTAATGAGGAAAGAGCCTTTGTTTCCAAGCTGTCTCCAGGTAACTATTCAGTATAGAAACTCTTTCACAAGGAGTCTGTAGTAAGATCATGGCACACGGGCCTTCTGACCAGCAACAATTAATCTGCTTTAAGTGTTAAGGCAGAAAGGGAGGCTGTTGTCCATGGCAATCAGGCTTCGTTTGTTGCAGGAGCTGGAAGTTGCACAGTGGATGACACAAAGGCAAGAGGTGTATCTCATGGTGAAAGTAGCTGAACACTTCCTCCAGAAACAGAAGCAGTCTCTTTCTAAGATAGAAATCACAGGTAACACCATGCAAGTCTTCAGTTAAACTTTTCATAGCTAGTAATTAATAGCAGTATCATTTTCTGAATGCCTGACTTAAGGCAGGCCAGAAACAAGCTGAAGGTCACAAGAGCTGTTTTAATTGCACGAAGCTGTACACAGTGCTAAACGGAAAAGGTCTGGCCTAAGCATTTCAAGAAAAACATGAAAAATAAATTTGAAACTTCTGGCTTGACTCTTGGTATCTCA